GCGGGGGGGGGTGATGGGGGGGGGGAGAGAGAAATGGTCTCGGTCGCAGCCCTGAAACGGTGCCACCACATGAGCCTGTGAATTGCCCTTTGGCGCGGAGAGAGCGGGTTCTTCCCAGGAGGAGAGGTTATGAGGGAAAAAGAAGGGGGCAGCCAGCGAGCGCCCCTGCAAGCCGCCGCTCTCTGCCAGCGTCCCATTTGTGAAGCTCTCTTTCGCACAGGCTGCTGCAGGTGAAAAGGGGGCTTCCTTCCTAAACGCAGCGCCCCCTTCCTCGCCCCAGCTTGTCGTCTTCATCGAGGAGAGGCACCTACCTAATGCGCTCGTTTCTTTCTCAGCATTTCTTTCTCGAGCTCCTTTTAGCCCAAACTCTGGCTGCTCCAGTTACCTATCTACCTTCTTTCAAGCAGTGGACATAAAGACATTCCTTCTTCCTGCCAAAATGCACTACACCTTTCGTTTTTGTTGTGACACCATCTCTTTGGTCACATTTCATATTCTAGGTTTCATTTTGTGTGTGTGTGTGTTCCAGGGCTCAAAGATGTCTAACTTTAAAAAGAAGCAGAGGTTAGGAATCCTCACCCTATGAGCACCCCTGGGATCTCTGATCAGATGCCTGGAGAGGTCCCGCTGCACAGAGCAGGTCACCGGTTCCTGTGATCCTGTCATCATCATCATCATCGCCTTCCAGACTCACAGCTGGGGTCCAAAACCCTTCTATTGCCACAGTTTTGTGCCACGAATGGCTACCCAGAGGAAGCACTGTGTAAAAGATTTCAATCCCTACATTACTTGCTGTATCTGTAAAGGATATCTTATCAAACCAACTACAGTAACTGAGTGCCTCCATACTTGTAAGTAGGATTTTGTGAGTCATCTGTCTTTGTAACAAAATGCTGTTTGCTCCAATTAATGCTAATAGTTTATAACTTTGGGATTAAGGCACATGGCTTATGGATCATTGTAATAGTATTTATATATTTCAGATATTCAAAGTGCATCGTATACAGGAAAAATGACATTCTTTTATATAGTTATTTGAAAACAAGTTTCATTTATTTAGGGCTTTGTTATCAGCAAATATGTCATGGATTGTAAGCCCTGAATACTTTTTTTAATTAAATGCACTAGATTTTTTCATCTTTTACTTCCTGGATTTGCCAGGAAATTGACATTTCAATAAAGTTGTAGGACTGCAGAAATTTGTCCCAAAGACAAAATGGCATAGAGTAGGGCTGATAGGTAAATCTTGGTCAAGTTCAGTTTTCCTAGGTTGGTTATTTTAGTAAATGTTTTGGCAAAAAGACTGCCTTGTGGATTTTTCACTTTTAAGGTGGTGGGTGTTCTCTTCTAGTTTCTTCAGTTTACCTAGAAAAATTTTAGCTTTGTAGTTGAAAAAAAGACACTGTAAGGCAGATTTACATGTACTAAGCAGATTTGTCTCAGTTGAAAAGTTGTAAATATAATGGTCTAGACAGAGGTTAATAATATGCTTTTACTTCTGAGTTTGGGATACATATGTATGCAGGCACATCTGCCATATATACCTGTTTCTTGCCTGACTCTGAAAAGTATGCTTTGTATCTCACAAATCAATTTGACAGTCTTCATATGGGTTGAAAGTTTGTGAAAGGCTGTTTCATTAGTTATGCTCTTTTAGATGGCAGTATTTAGCAGTCATTCTTCTGATTTACATTTTTGCCTAAAATGCATTTCTCCTCTGATTTTGTAGTTTGTAAGAGTTGCATTGTACAGCACTTTGAAGACAGCAATGACTGTCCCAGATGTGGCAATCAAGTCCATGAGACCAATCCATTAGAAATGTTACGGTAAGGAAATATTACATGCATATTGTTTCAACAAAAAACAATATATCATAGCTTATTTGAAAGAGATAAGAAAAAAAATATAGCAGTAGAATATGAGAGTTTAGAAGCTGTCTTTAAACTTATATTGACAGGATCACTGAAATTTTTAGATAAAATAAAACCACACAATTTAAAATTGTTCTTCATTACTATTATTGGTCCAATTCTGCTGGTCAATTATTGCTAAAATAGGAATGTCATGTGCATTTAAATTGTAATCAGTTATGTACTGCTTGGGAATGTTCCCTAGTTTCATTTTAAATATTTCTAAAGGCATCTCTCCAACTAAATTAGAAGACCTTCCTCTTCCTGACTATCTGAGATACCACCCCATAGTTCCTTGCAATTACAATGAAAAGTAATTCCCATAATACAATATATAATCATAATTTTTCACATCACCTGCCTTTCGACTCCTTTGCTCCTAAGAGATGAAAAAAATCCCTACCTTTCCCCAAAATTCTTGTGTTGTATAGATTTCACTTCCGTGGTGCGTTGTCTGTTTATTTTCTTCTTGAAAACTAAAATATTGCCAAGTGCACCATCACCAGTGTGCATATGTGACCTTTAAAAATAAATAGAGATCTTAACAGTGCATGGGAATTAGATACGTGAAGGAGGACGGGAGGGAGAGGACATAGCTAGTTGGTATATAGTAGAAGAACGTTCTGTAGATGTCTTAAAGCTGTACCCTGTTCTAGCTTGCCTGCCACCTTTCAGGCGTGAGGTAACCCACTCAACCAACCTTCCATTCTTTCCCTGATGTTGTTAAATGTCAGATCTGCCCAGAATAAAGCCCTGCTTATTCACAAACAAATTCTGGATGAAAGAGGCAGTATCCTGAAGTGGCCTACTTACTAAGCCACTTCATGATACAGTATTGACAAATTGAGAGGGGAAGGGCTTGCTTTGGATCAGTTCTAATGATCACACACACTGGAACCGATCTAAACTAAAGCAATCCTACCCACACCAGAAAAGTAGAAGACCCTTGACAGGGGGCGGAAAGGTCCAAGTAAGATTACTCAGGGGGTGGGGCCGTCTGGTGCACTTTAGCAAAAAATATTATCTGATTGCCATCTTTGAGAGTGCACCAGCAGCACTCCAGACAGCAGTTTAAATAACCCATGTGGTCAGTCTGTATTCATTACTGTAAAATGTAAATGTTCTTAAATATTTATTGTACTGTTTTTGTTAGCATCTACAGCACTACATGTCTATAATGTTTCTTAATAACTAGCTTAAAATAAATAAATTCATCTTAAGTCTTTCAGCTTCTTAAAAAAACCCATATCCACTAATATTGTCTGTCCTAGGTTGGATAACACATTAGAGGAAATTATATTTAAGTTGGTTCCAGGACTTCGAGAAAGTAAGTCTCCCTACCCACACCACAACTCGATTGCTGTCATCCCCACCCCCATCATCCTGTTGTGATATTCTGGATTATTGATCTGCCTTTATGTTGCAATCTAGAGGAACTGTACCGTGAGACTGAATTCTGGAAGAAAAACAAACCTCAAGAAAATGGCGATGGTAATTATTTTGTGGTAATGTAACAGTGCTTTAATAAGGTCCAGTGTATTTTTGGGTAAAGTCAAATATTTTATATTACCACCCAGCACTCACAAAAAGCATGTGCATGTCTAGCAATTGTGTTTTTCACTTTGTTGTTATGTATTGTGAAGTCGCCTCTGACATATTGCCACCCTAGGAATGAGTGATCTCCAAAATGTCCGGTCCTCAACAGCCCAGCTCGGCTGTTGTAAAATCAAGCCTGGGGTTTCCTTGATGTTGATGTTATCCCTTGGAGTCGGTTATGGTATATAACTTAGATATTCCGAGCTATTTGTTTTCAGCATAGCTTACATTAAAATGCAGTATTTATAGAAACCGTTGTCTCAACCAGAAGTTCAGTACAGTACTGGCTTGTCTACAGTTTTGAAGCCATTGGATACATTTATATATTGCTTTTCCTCCAGTGAGTTCAAGGCAGTATACATGGCTGTCCTCCTCTCCACCAGATCCTCAGAAAAAACTCATAAGGATTAATCACTATTGTGTCAGTATAAGTAATAGTCCCAAAATCACTCAGTGAGTTTCATAGCTCCATTAAGACTTGAACCTGGATTTGCAAGTCCAAATCCAATAATCTACTAGACTGTTTTGGTTGTCTTTGTATATTGAAAGATACCCAGTTTGCCTGTGTTTTTGTACAGCAAAATTTTGTTCTTAAAGTAAAATATATGTCTTACATGAGTTATCCTTGTTCACTTGGGATATTGCATATGTGCAGGTATCTGAAAGCATTTGACAGTTCAAATTGATTAACTACATGGATTTTTATGTGGCTGTCCATTGAATAGAATCAGGGAGAATGCTAGTATTTTGTTTACAAAATCAGTAAGACACTGAACAATACACATAGATTACAAATTCTAATGTCTTCCAAATGTATCCTGCACAGGAATCACCTTTGTGAAGGTAAATGTAAGCAAAGTAAGGAGATATTGGTTAGCAGAGATACTTATGACACTATGACACAGAGTAAAACCAACAACTTAAGTCTATTTACATATATTCATAGATAACAGACATTCCTCTGGCAGCATAACATGACATGAAGCAACACACAGCATAGGAAAAAGTGATCTTACAGCAGATAAAGACATTCATTTTACACATGATTTATATACAGTTCTGTGACCAGTCAGAAAATACATTACTTCATTTTCTGTTAGACAAAGTTTCATCACGTACACAGCTGTACAACATTAAGTCTTAATCCTTGATACCCACACCTGAATACAATCAGTACAGTGAGTCAGGTAAAATCAGCCATTTTACATTTAACTATACAATATTAATATTTAATACATGTTCATATCAAAATCTCAAACCTTGCTGATGTGATTACATGTCTAGACATTTGGAGGCAAACATGCACAATTGTAATGACATGCCTATACCATATTCCCTCCCCCATATGCCCTGAGAAGAGTTAACCTAAATCCTTAAATAAATATTTGAAATAATTATAATCTAATGATAGGAAAAATATGGCCTAATGCTATTGCTTTCCTGCCCAAAACTGGTTCTGTGCAGAAACCTTAAATTTTTTGTACCTGAAACCAGTGATTAGAAGAGTATTACATAATTAAATTAGTGTTTTGTTTAGCTTGACTCCAATTGGCCTTAATTTGCACCATGACTCCTTATATAGAACTCTATTACTGAAAGTTGATTATGAACAGGGAAGCACAGATTAATATCATGAATTTATAAGGTTAAGGTAATGTGTGTGTTATCCACCTCTTCCACTTATTCTTTCATTTTTTTTAATGTAAAGTTGTCAGAAGGACTGTCTGGATAATATTTTCAGAAATTTGCAAAATTTAAGTGCGTAGAGATTTCAGTATCCTTGATAGGGGAAGTGCTTGGAATAAGTTGAGATGTTTTTGCTGTTGCTAGAGCAAGTTTCTTGAAACCAACTTCAGTAAGTTGTCATCATTAAGGCTATTTTTACTATGCAACATATGCAAATATGATAAAATACACAAACCATAGGAGTCACAAAATCCAGTTGTGGGGGTGTTAGATAAAATTTGGATTGCCTAGGAGCAGAATTCTAAAGAAAAAATACGCTGGTGAACAGATTATAGTATGCAAAGGCACTAAAACCTGTTTTCATGGCCTATTTTCCTGAGATAAAAAGAAATAGGTTTCTATACCAACTCTCCCTCTCATTGGACTCCAGTTTTGTCCTCTCTGCGATCTTCTGGCTCCCTTTCGGAAGAGCCTGCTCAGTTTAATTTGGGCACTATTCAGATGAAATTGTGTTCAACAGATCATATGAACTAGAACAAAAATGTGAGGGCTGTTTATTAAAAGGGAGTACCACCAAGAACTAGATGAGCACCACCTTCCTGAATAAACAGCCATCTTTCAGTGGTACTTTCATCTTAAATCGACTGTGTTGCAGCTTGTTTGACCTTCTCTAGTTCATTACCAGTCTTGGTCATTTCTCCATCTCACCTGAGTATGAAAAAAAAATAAAGCTAGGACATGATACCAGACTACTTCCCAAGTTAATGTGCCACAACATTTTTATGTAGCTTTTGAACAGCAGGGAGAGTAGCATAGAGCTACTAAATACACCATAGCACAACTGCCATTGTACAGAGGAAAATCCAGCATCACACTATTGAGTTACACATTTCATTGGTTTTGGTAGGACTCGCGTTCAAATAACAAATTGGATTGTTACTTTTAGTTCATTCAGCTGATACGTAGTACATGTTTACATGATACATACTACTTTATCATTATTTTCCAGAAGAAAATCCAAAATCAGAAAATCCCAAAGATGATGATGATGGAGATGGAAATCAAGAGGATAAAGACTATCACAGGAGTGACCCTCAGATTGCTATATGTCTGGATTGTTTACGGAACAATGGGCAGTCTGGGGACAATGTAGTAAAGGTGAGTTTTGAAATCATTTTTGCTGCTTTAAAGTAGTAAAACACTGTGGACTTGATTTTATTTGGATGTAACAAACAGCTGGTGAAAATTCTTACTGAAATCATTATTGTGTTTTATAGCAGAGTGGTTATCTAAAAAACATAAGTCTTGTCAAAAGCACCATTAGTTGTCAGATGCAAATGTTTGCTTGCTTGTTTAAGACCCTGCCCTTCTCCTCAAAGTGGAACTCAGGACACCACATAATGGCCCAAATCCTGTTGCTTAACATAATAAAATGTATTAGAGTAGGCCTGTTGCATGAATGGTGATTTAGTGATACATCTCTTCCATAAGTTCCATTGATTCAAATGAACCTAACTTACTATGCCAAAGTAAGTCATAGTTAGAGAAATTCTATTAGAATCAATGGCACTTGTGGAGGAGCTGACTCATCAAATCCCCATCAATTCAACAGGCCTACCCTAGTGTGCTAAGCAATAGGATTTAGGCCGCTGAGACTGAATAAAATTAATAGAACTGAACACAAAAACAATTTCTAAAAATAAAATACAGTACAGTTAAATTAAAAACATCAGTTCAATTAAACATAGTTCCCACCTGATAGAAAGCTCTTCCATAATAATCTGTGAGAGCAGTTTAGTGTTCCTTGACAGGGTGTTAGGAGCCTTTTGCCATGTTGCCAATATATCTGCCTCTCAAGGTGATGGGACCAAGATAAGGGCCTCCAATGTGGATCAGAAAGCTCAGACTGGAACTGCAATTGATGATTATTAAGAAGGTTGTCTTTTACTTATGAGCAAACTTGAATACAAACCTGCTTGCAGAATGACAGCGTTGTTATAACTGAAAAATGAATATTTAACATCAGTAAAACTGAATATAATAAACAAAAATGTATCATCACTATGCTGGAGGTGTAAAAAAGAGAAGGGGACGTATATACATATGTGGTGGTCATGTGAACTAGGAAAGCAAGAACGGAAGCAAAATTTTAAAGAAATAAAGGAAAAAACTGGATTAAATATTCAAATGTCCCTGTCAATGGCTTTATTGAATTTGCTTAGGAAGGCTCAATTGTTGAAAGAAAATAAGAACTTAATAGTAATAATGATTACGGCAGCAAGGTTAATTTTCGAAAGAAACTGGAAAAATAATAACCAACTCAATTTAGAGGAATGGTATAGAGAACTATGGGATATGGCAATTAATGATAAACTGACATGTGATATGAAAATAAGAAGAGGCCTATCAAAAATAATGATTTTAAGAAAATATGCAGTGTATTCTTGGAATATGTATTTCAGAGAGGGAAGGGGTATACACTGAGGGAAGAAACAATGAAGTTTTGGAGAGAAACTGGACTGAATGATATTTAAAATATTATTAATGCTAGCCCTGAGGGTGATGGTGGCACTGGTGTATTAAGTAATTGTATTTTATTGTGGTGTTAGGTTTATGTTGTTTAGGTCAGATGTTGGTTTAATAAATTTATATATATATTAAAAATAACTGAAAATTTAGGTGGATTTATGTTTGTTTGTTTGTTTGTTCATTTGTTTAATTTCTATACTGCCCATCTGGCAACCCAGACCACTCTGGGCGATTTGCACAATACAATAAAATAATACAATATAAAGCAATACAATAAAATGAGACAATAAGACAAAATAATCAATACAGTGTAAACAAAATGAAAATAATATTAATAAAAACATTAAAATAAAATAGTGAAAGCATGGCAGAGGGTTGAATGTTAGTGAATATTTGGTTATTAGAGCACTATTGCATCAGGATGTTAAGTTTGTAGGATTGTCACACACTGTAATGTCATTGTGTGATGCAGTTCAAGAGGTGCCACATCCTAAATGTGCTCTTGTTTAATAATAATAATTTATTGTCATTGTAAGTATATATTTGTGCCATCTCCTCATCCTAAAAATGTTTCTAGACAAATTTGTCTGTTTCTGTTTATAGTTTGGGATCTAACTGAGATTTAAAAGTTCAAGTTTATAAATTTTCTTTCTTTTCTTACAGGGATTGATGAAGAAATTCATCCGGTGTTCTACACGAGTGACAGTAGGAACTATCAAGAAATTTCTAAGTTTAAAATTAAAGCTTCCAAGTTCTTATGAGGTATGAGGGAAAATAACCCAAATCCTGCCATTCATTTTAGTGAAGTGGACTTAAAATGTAAAAACTTCAGCAGTATATTTTTCATGCTTGAATGCCAAACACAGAAAGATATTGGTAATCTGATCCTTTGCGTATTTATTTAGAAACCAGTCCTTCTTACTCCAATGCAAATGTGTACATGTCTATAATTTAATTATTGTAATCCAGAATTAGGTCTCTGTTTTATGGAAGATTACTACACAGTTTGGAAGATTATATTTAACTGAGGTCAGAATTAACTTGACCTCAGTGGAAAATGTTATTATTTGCAGAAACATTTCCATAGTAGAAATGGTGCTTGCCCTGAAAGTCTTGTTCTTAACTCCTAGAGCGTGGTATATATTACAGAAAAAATGAAACAGATTCAGATCCTATTGCTTAGCACAGTTGCACTAAAGTAAGCCAATTGAATCCACATGGATTTGGTAGGTCAACTCTGAAAGTTGTGTTGATTCAAATGGACCTAATCTAGTTGTGATGTACTATGCTAAAGACAGTTAGGTAAAGGTAAAGGTTCCCCTTGACAATTTGTCCTGTCATGTCCGACTCTAGGGGGCAGTGCTCATCTCCGTTTCCAACCCAGAGAGCTAGCATTTGTCCAAAGACAATCTTCCATGGTCACGTGGCCAGTGCAACTAGACACGGAACACCATTACCTTCCTACTGTAGTGGTACTTATTTATCTACTCACATTTTTGCATTTAGCATGCTTTTGAACCACTAGATTGGAGGGAGCTGGGACAAGCAATGGGGGCTCACTCCATCGCGGGGATTCGATCTTACGACTGCAGGTCTTCTGACCTTGCCGCACAGAGGCTTCTGCGGTTTAACCCACGCCTATTTGAATCAATGGAACTTACAGAGGGGGTGATTCACTATATCCCCACTAATTTTATAGGGCTTGTTGTTATTTAGTTAAGTCATGTCTGACTCTTTGTGACCCAATTGACCCCAGGCCCTCCTATCTTCCACTACCTCCCGGAGTTTGGTCAAATTCATGTTGGTAGCTTCGGTGACACTGTCCAACCATCTCGTCCTCTGCTGTCCCCTTCTCCTCTTGCCTTCACACTTTCCCAACATCAGGATCTTTTCCAGGGAGTCTTCTCTTCTCATGAGATGGCCCAAGTATTGGAGCCTCAGCTTCAGGATCTGTCCTTTCAGTGAGCACTGAAGGTTGATTTCCTTTAGAATGGATAGGTTTGTTCTCCTTGCAGTCCAGGGGACTCTCAAGAACCTCCTCCAGCACCACAATTCAAAAGCATAAATTCTTTGGCAGTCAGCCAACTTATAGGCCTACTTCAGTACAATTGATTATGCTAAGCAACAAGATTTCAGCCAAATGAGCATCAACCAATTGAGTAATCCTGTTAAGTGTCAATAAGCCTGATAGACTACAGATTAAAGCAGATTTTTAGCATAGCTAAAGGAAACCTCTTACTCATTATATGACCCTACATCCACACCTTATATTGTAGTTATCAATACAGGCAGGCTGAATTTGGGAAGAGATTCTGGCTCAGCCATTTGAGTGTACACTTTGCTCACTTAGGTTCCGGATTGAATCTCTTATTTCTCCAGTTGTGTGGGGGCAGTGGTTAACCTAGTGATATTGAAGATCGCTGCATCCTAGAATGATGTTCCATATCAGCTAGAATAGGCAATACTGGGGATGAGGAAAATTGACCTCCTATAAGGCAGGTTCTTATACTAAATCAAATCTTGGTCTGTCTTCTTACCTCAGATGCAACACATCTTTTAGAAGCAACACATAGACATTTTGTTTTATCTATACGTGCTGTATTTTGGTTGTTTTTTGTTTTCTAAGTGACAGACCTGTAACCATTTTATACTGTCAGGGCCCTAACAGATCCCAAGTAAACTGTGGTTAAAAACATTGAGATGCTTTGGATGTTTGTACTGAATGCTTCCACATATTTCACACCCCAAGACTTTTCAGACTTCTTTAATTTTAAATGGCCTATTTAAATACAATACTTTGTTAGGAGTGGAAGTGGAAGTACATGGAAGCAGTTTGGATCAGAGTTGTTTGTTTTGGCTTTTTGTTTCACTAAGCGTTAATCTTGCATAAATATGATCTGTTCTCTTGTCCTCATTTCCTGTTACATGGTAATAATTCACTTCTCAGAAACATTGGAAGGATTACAGAGCATTATTGTTACAACTTTTTAATAGTCATGATTTACTGAACTTCCCACTTTCTTTTTGTTTAAGCTGGATGTACTATGCAATGGGGAAATCATGGGGAAGGATCACACTATGGAATTCATCTACATGACAAGATGGAGGCTACGAGGCGAAAATGTAAATAAAATATAACTTTTTTGTTTAAATTTGCCTTTTTTGCATATGTATTGCTTATTTGTCCATTTATATTTAAAAGCAGAGGAGGGGAAAAAATAACAGCAAAAATGCCTCCCCCCTCAAGCCTCTTTAACGCCAAACAGTTGCCAAAAGAAAAAAACCTGTGGAAATCATGATGGGCAACGAAGATGAAGTTGAATTTGTCATAAATAGTTCCATCTGTTTGAATAATTAGCTAAGGGTATTTCCCCGATAAATATCCACCTTTTTTGGGGTGGGGGGGACAACAAGAGGTGAGGAACATTCCAGAGTGACATCTCTGTGTACATGAGTAACAGTGTACTACCTATATTTGTGACTTAGGCCCTGATCACACCAGGCAAATGTTCCCCACTTCTAAAAATACTATCCATACCTCTGCTGTACTGAATGGAGGTCACATAGTATATATACCAGGACTAACATTCCAATTTGTTTTAACGTGACTGATTCATTTCTTGTTATTTGAAATATTGTGGCTGGCTACACTGTGGAACTGATTTATTTTCTATCTAGTCTCCTTGGGCAGTGCAGCTTCTTAGTTTATATTGTTTTTTAAATAAAATAAAAAATGAAGCCCCTAACCACTCTCTCCCTCTCTCCCTCCCTCCCTCTGCCAGCAAATGCCAGGCTTATACACCGCTGCCCCTGCACCAAGCCTCACAGGGTGAGTGTGCTTCTTTGAAGTGGCACCTTGGTCCTGGCTGCTCCCCATTTCCCTCCCTCCCTCTGCCAGCAAAGGCTTGGAGTACCTGCCACCACCCCTCTGTCAAGCCTCACAGGGTGTGCATGCTTCTTGAAGGGGGCCGCTTGTATCTGGCCATTCTCCCTTCTCTGTTTTTCCTGGTGAGATTGACGTTCATAAATGCAGTACCAGTAAGGAATGTCCCAATATGTCATCAGAACAAAATAAAACAACCCTCCTGGTGAGGGGGAAATAAACCGCAGATACACCACTGGCTGGGGAAATGGTTTAATAATGGCCATATTGTGTGACCAAAAATGTATGCAACAATCTAACTGGGTTATAACTAGGTAACATTTGCCTCGTGTGTTCAGGGCCTAATATAAGATGCCAGTGCAATTTGGAATAGATCCATTGATACAAATGAACTTGTGAGCTACAACTAGTTTAAGTGCTGCTGATTTCAGTAAGTCTGCTCTAGGTAGGTTTGGCATTGGATTTAATGCACAACAAATAATGTAGAAAAAATAGTGTAATTTATGTTTGGAACAATTTTGATCAAAGAACATTCAACTCACAAGATGCTTACAGTCTGTTAGATCAGTATTTTATGCTAGTAGTACAGAAATAATTTTGCAGTGGAACAGGACAGTTTCATGGTTCTTCATCTGTTTTTAGCAGTAGTGGCTGAACTATTTCAGCACTTTTTGTGTGGATATTTATTAGTTTCATCCCTGTCTTTTGAAATGTTTGAGGCTTAGAAAATTAAGAAAAGTGCACATTCTTGGTTTACAGTAATCATTAGTTCCCATTTAAGTAATATAGGATAACAATAACGTCTTGGGAACAATTGTACTTTCAGCTTGAACTGACAGATTCAGTCAAAACAATCCACCTTTTCTCATAATCAATGTAAATGCAACAGATTCATAAAGACTGCACATCTTCACTTAAAATATTTAGAGTCTGAAAGTCCTTCCATTTGTCTGGATCTCTTAAGTAAGATACCTTCTTTCTGTCTAGAATTCATTTACTTAAGCCAGTGTAAGCCCAACAACATAAATCTCATCTACAAACTGCTGCTAGTTAAGAAGTCAAAGCTTGTAATTAGAGATGGACATGAACCAGCATAATGGTTTGTGGTGATTTGTTGGTGATCATGAACCACGAACAATGCCAAAAATTTTTTAATGCAAACTTCTTCATGGTTCCTTTGGTTTCGGCCCATCTCTAAATTTCAGCTACACAGAAAGTCCCCCTTTCATGAGTTTCCCACCGATGTAAGTTCTTTGAGGGTTCCCTATATATAGCCCAATAGGCAGCAAAGCTACACTTCTCACAATACCTCAAGCTGCCGAGGAAACACTGAGGTAGGAAGTAGGCCCAGACTATCTTACTCAGCTGGCCAGTGGTAGCAGAGGGGGTGAATGAAGTTGGTCCTGGGGCCCATGAAGGGGAGCTTTCTAGGAGGCAGGGACGAAACGAAATGCCAATGATGAAAAGTTCGACATTTCATTTCACTTCATGAAAGTGCAATTCCCCATGTGTGTTTTTGGTTCATGGTTTATTTCATAACCATCTCTACCGGTACAGTAATTGTTACTGTGTGTCAAGTCACAAAAAGAAATATAAGTACCAGCTTCTCAAGTGGCAGCAATTTAACACTGAGATTTGCATAGTTCGACGAAAGTAATAGGATGCTGATGAGCATAAGTAATAGGATTCCAGCCAGAACAGATTATGTTCTTAGTTTTGTCTGTAACATAGCTAGAAGTGGTCCTTTAGACTGCTACTGTGTTGTTTTTAAATAAAGTTTAGGTTGATTTAATGTTTAAAAGAGTTAATCTTAACAGTATGCTTCCATGAATATACAATAATGAATATTACATTTGTTTATGTGTATTCTATTTGAATGCTAAATTCTTTGCAACTTAAAGATTGTTTGCTACTCCTAATAGCTAATCCTGCTTATTCTTGTTTTGATAGCAATATAATACTGTCTTAATTATAAAATAATAAAATTCTAAATGTAAAAAAAATGTAATGACTTATAATCAATGTCCAGTTGTGGATGCCTCTTATCTGATCAGAAAATCATCTCCTTTGCAGTTTCGGTGTCAGAACTGCTCATCTTCACAAGTCTGCTCACAGGATGGCTCTTTTTATCAGGTAAGAGGCACTCCCGACTGTACACATTATAGTCATTAAGAGGACATCAGTACATCCGTTGTAAATCAGATCTGAGGGGAGGTAGTTTCCCTATTAATGTTGGAAAGTTCTTGTAATCTGGATTAAAATCAGCCTTGGGGTCAAAAGCCTCATTTGTTATGTTTAATGTCCATGTAGTTTTGTTTTTTAAAGCAGAAGGAAATAATGTATACAGTAATTTTCATTAGCATGCTCAAGATACTTAGTTTTTAGAAAGGCACGTAAACAATTCCACTAAATCCAATAAAATACTTCAATGATCTCTTGTAATACTTGAGCACTTACTGCTCCCTCTGCTGCTATCAATGAATGTTGAATGGCAACCAGTTAACATATGGATGTGCTGTACTTCTGTTGTGCAGCTCTGCATTCACAGCAATGATGTCATGACTAGTGGCAAGTCACCACTGATTACAAGCTTCCTTTGGGCATTTCAAGGTGCATGAGACTTTGACACATTGTGTATGAGTCACGTGCACCCTAGAATTGCCTTTAATCAGCATGAATTTATCTTTAACTAGTTTGCTGCTGGTGTTGACATCATCTTCATTGTGTATGAGTTGTGCTGCAGGATTTCAACTACCCACCACCACCCCACACATAGAAGGAAAGAGTCTTCCCTTTCAGAAGGGAGAGGGACACTCTGCTCTTTTAGGTCTGCAGGAAACAAGGATATGATAGGGTTCCCTAGCACTCTCGTCCCATGGGTTGCTGCAGGTTGTAGTACAAAGGTACAGTTTGTGATTAATTGCAGCCTTACAGCCCCCACACACACACACACACACTGGGAAGTTACATAAATCTGGTTCAGCATTCAAACCCAATCTGACATGAAATGGGAGGAGTTTGTGTATCTCTAAATTTCTAATTTGCTTAGCCCCCATCTTTTTGTTTATTTATTTTAAACATCTATAGATTGATAAATAATTGCTAACTAAAATCTCTTCAGAAATGTTAATAATTATTCCTCACATGCTTGTGCCTACATGCTGTCATTTTTTCTGTTTGTTCTGTTTCCATTGTGATTTTAGTCTTACCCCATGGTACTCCAGTATCGACCCAGAATTGACTTCAGTTAGACCAAAGGGCCAGATCCCACTGAGATTAATCCTGCACTATGTTTACTCATCGACAGATTGCACAATGAATGGATGTGCCTGGACTGGGGGGACACAACCAGAATTGCAGCATGCAAATACGGACTTTTTCTTGAGTTGATCAACAATCCTTTCCCCACTTTTAGAGTAAGCCAAGTGCCATTCATACTGAAAATTCATACGATAGTTATGGCATCAGAGACTGAAAACTGTAGCCAAATTGTTAAATGTATAGTCAGGAGTCTAAATCTCTGAATACTTGTTTTGCCTGTTAGAAACATTCACTGGTCCATAACATTGGTTATTTTAGCAGAGGTAGCCCTCTGCTCTTTCACATGTGGTGTTGCAGTTGATGGGGTTTTTTTTCACATGTACACTTTTATTGAAAACCCACTGTTTAAAAAAAGTACTGTATAAAAGGTTAAAACTATACCTTTAAAATATTTGGGCTGGTATCCTCTTCAGAGCAGAAGGGTAATAATGTAAGGATTACCCTACTCTGGCAAAGTACTTACACAACTATTTGTGCAACTGATCACATGACCAGTCTCACAACTACTGAGAGTGGGCACACAAAGGGGAGCCCATTGGAGAGGTGATACTTACATGATTGTCCTTCTGTGGTTACATTGTATATAATATATGGTTTAGGAATGTGGTTATTGGGCCACTACAATTTATCTTGTTCAATTTCTCATAGGTCCAGATATAATGTACTCATTAGTTTGCAGCATCTGAAATTTTAGATTTTGTGTCAGAGACAGTAAATACAATCCTTTTGCATTGAACCTAAATGGTATAATGTCTCATAACCCCCCTTCATTAGTATGTATGACTTACCTAGATGTTTGAACTGGAGCAGTAGCAGATCAGCACACATACATCAGGTAAGGTTATTTTTGCTATATAATAACTTACGTACAAGGAGGAACATGAGTTTTCAAGTTCGTGATGCACTAAACAGTGTTTGTCTATCCTTCAAACTGTTGCCAGAGTGGGCTTCCCTTTTGAATTATTTCATTTTCGATAAATATTGGCAATATTGCAGAAAAGAGGATCTACTAAAACGAATGGTCTTAGGTGTTCTGGATTAGGACCACTAAGTTTACTTCTGCATTAGTTAGGGTGATGAATAATACATAACGGTGTATTCTAAAATATGCCAGTTTAATGGCATCCATTACAAATTTCTGTGGTTATCTAGAATCTAGCAGCTATTGTAGAACTGATTGCCACATTAAAACTGAAGTGGATTTAATATGATTGACAAAGCTACCTGACCAAAACTACTGGCTTTTCAGGGTTTTCTTTTGATAAGAAGCAGTAGTGTTACAAAAATGTTGATGGTTGCCTTAGCTATTGCACGTGCATTCCTTCTTGTAAAAAAATACGTTGTGTTATGGATATCATTACAGAGATCACAATATATTCCACATTGTTTCCTGTCTTCCATTATTTTTACACAGTTGAAAGCCAAAATAACTATATAGTTGAATAACCTGTACAACTGTTAATAAACACATTTACCTGTAAGTAAATTATAGAACATAAGTAATATAGTTCACTTTGAGAAGCTATGGGGTCCTTAATTAAATTTGGGATATTGTGGCAGAACAAATACTCCAAACCAGTATTTGTTCTGCCATCGCATGTGAAACATTATGTCTTGCTACATAAAGAGATGTATTGTGCACTTTGGGGAATAACCCAGTGCCCTTCAGACACCACATGCAAGAGATGTGAGCTCCAATTTACAGTAACCAACAGAAGAGCAGAACATTGTGTTGTCACTGCTGGGCTTGTGGAGGTCCCTTCTCCTGTATAATGTGATCGGCACTGTCAGATGCAGCAAAAGAGATGGGAAGAAAAGGAACTGAAGCCAGTGCCTGCTTCCTCAGTACTGATCACCTGTGAAATATTGTGGGCACAGTTCTGTAGATGCAGTAATTTTAATTCAAATAGCATCTTAAGGTAGAGGCAGAGAACTTTCAGCTCTCCAAACATTGAACTAGATATTCTGTTGACCCTGGCCATTAGGTGTGCTGTCTTGGGTTGATGGAATTTAGAGTCCAGCCATGTCTGAAAGACCACTGGCTGCCCCTGCAATTAGGTTCATGAAAGGGTTTCACACTCAGTGAAATCTTACGTTTCAAAATTTGAGCAACAGAACATCCTTCTGCATGCAATATAAAAAACTGCATCGTCTTCAGTTCAATTCGTTTGTAAGAGCAGTTGCTATACTGCACATGAGACTTCTCCTAGGAAAGGATGTCTACTGTTCTTTTGGGCTGATGAATCTATTTGGATCTTAGATGAGAACAGACACAAGCGCACCATCTGATTACAGTGTAGATACCTGCCTCTGTGTACAAACTAGCTTTGGGGCAAATATATTAATAGTGTGTTTTGAAAGCTATTTTTAGACATTACCTGGAAGCACTGGACAAGGGATATAACAATAATTTGGGCATTTCCATGATTCTGAGTAACATTCAAATTAGCCATTCCTGCATCTCCTCCTGAAAGAAATGCCTATGTTAGATACATAGCCAGAACTTGTGAATCTTGCCATGGGGAAAGCATGTAAGTTTCTACTCCAGATATCAGCCCAAAGTTTGGAAATCAATGCAAAAGCTGTGCTTTCAGGACCTACAGATAATATCCAGACTGTGTCAATGCAGGTCAGTAATATACAATAACTTTACTGAAATTTCTGAAATTTCCATCATTAATACACTATCAGGGCTAGTCTTTTAATACCAATGTTGTGGAAACATTTCAGTTTAATATTAGTAAATGTCAATTTTTCTCCCTTCTCACTGGTTTCCTAAATAGCAGAACAAAAATAAAAACAAAAGAGTTTCATCACCTTAATGACTAAGCAGTGTAAAAGTGTGATCATATGGGAAAATAGATCACATTTTGGATCTCTTGAAGCATAGTTTGGAGCAATCTATTTCTGGGTAATCTCATGACACAGGAAATTGCCCTTTCAGCCCAATCCCAATCCATGTCTAAACTGGTCCTTTTTGGTCCATCCATAGGGCTACTATTTGGGGGGTGGGGGCAGGATGGAATGATTCCCTGACAGACAGAAGGGTTACTTTAAATGCGATTGCTCCCTGTAAAGTGACTCTTTCCAGTGCAATCAGTTGCATACTTTTTCACCATCTGATCACACCGTTAGTCTAGTTTGAACACTGTTTTTCTGCACTACCCCCTGCTTTGTAATGTCCAGCCTAATAAATATTCTTGAAAAAGTCAAAACCTAAGTTCTGTGATACTTTAGTGGCTTAATAAAGCTATCACATACTGTTCTATTCCCCAAACACTGACCAAAATTCTGTTGCTTAGTGTACTAAATCACACTACAGGAGTTTTAATGAGTCAGCTCTTCTGTAAGTTGCATTGATTCAAATGATGCTACACCAGTTGAGACTTAGTATGCTAAAGTAAACCACAGGTCACAATTGAATCAAAGAAACATCATATAGAGGAACTGACTACCAAATCCACACTCTTTCAGTGAGCCACCTGCTCTACTGTGATTACTACACTAAGCAACAGGATTTTGGCCATTGTGTGAAATAATGGATCATAATCCACAAAAGCTCACATTTCATTTTAATAGTCTCTTTTTGCATATTCAGCCCAAATTATACAATATTTAATAATAATACACCTTGAATTATCTCTTTTTGTATGTCAAAAGAATTTTTGCTTTTCACTGCGCTGAGAAGAACATGCAAAAACAAGTATTTGGGGATCTAAACATGTAAGATTCAGCTGTCAGATGTTTCAGGCTGAGAAACAACACCCATTTCATTTTCATATTGTTTTATAAGCTCGATAAATATGAACAGGTTTTTTCCCACTTGAAAAAAACATGGAAATCCAAGATAGGTTTGTCAGATGTGAAACTCGAAGCCTTAAAATGTCTCTTCCACCTGTAACCTCTTTGTGGCCTACAGCTTTTTATTTCTCGTATAGTTGCATAGTGCCTCTACTCTGTTGGTTGAGCAATTGTCCAAAAAACAGCCAACTGCTGATGTCTTCTATAGAACTTAATAACTTCTTAGTACACTGATGGCAAATGCTACCCATTTTTACTTACAACCACTCCTAATAATATTACTGTTGATCAAGAAAAATAGCAGTAAGATGAGAGATTAAGAGAACATAGCCACAAGCTTTTTGTGCCAAAGAATATCAAGCAATTAATGAAGATATTAATAATCCAGTAAAGCGAAACAATGGTTATGGTGATTTCTGTTGCGAGCTGTAAAACAAAACATGGTTGGGAGAAAAATAGCAAATTTGACAATAGAGTTGCTGCAGCTGTTCTGGATCATTTCCTCTGAATCCACATGTCCTAGGGGACTCTCATTCCAAAGCAGTTTTTCCTACTAAATCATTTTTGATATTAAACTATGAGGAAGTATCATAACTGAACGGAAAAGCCCATGCTTTGCATGAAGAAGGATCCAGATTCAGTTGCTGGGATCTCCACCTTAAGATTGCTGTCAAAGTAGACAATACTTAGCTTGATGGACAAATCGGTCTAGCCTGGTATAAGATGTCTGTATGGTGTTCGAAAGGGGTGAAGTCAGTGTTTCTCATAGAACAAGCTGGGCATTTTTGTCTCACAAAAGAAGCTTGGAAGCTTTGAATTTCACACTGAAAATTTCAAGCTATTATTTTAATTACTACGTTCAGAGGACTGCAATATGTTTGCAGGGGAACCACTCAAACTAAGCCAAGGGATTCTTGTAAGACATTAGTCTTCATAAATGGATATAAGTAGACTCTGTTGGACTACAGTAATCTCCTTTGTTACATGCTGAAATTTTAGATCTATGTCACATAGGTTGTGCCTGATTTTGCCTGCCACTTATAGAAAGTCAACTAGCTGGTCCTATATGTTCAGTATACATCTGGTGCCAAATCATGTTTTCCCTCCCCGCCCTTTGAGTGGATGGTGGCCAGTTTCAAAAGCCTATGTAACACAGTTCTATTACATTAGTGAGATGTATGCAGTATTTGCACATCCAGTTGCCTGTGTTCATTCAGAAAGCTTGTTCTTATATCCGTTACTTAAGTTGTTTTTATACAGAAAGTACTGTGAAGATTATCCAGGAAGAATCATTTTCCACATCTTGGATAAAAGCACACTGCTTCTGGGTAGCAGCACAAGAAAGGGAAAAAAATGCATTTCCAAAGCTATATTTGACTATTGCCAAATCGAAGTGTTAGACTGAGTGTGCAACGTAACATAATCAGTGCTTATTTCTTGTGGCATCTTTTATGCATACAGTACATGTCTTATAGTGCTTTTCACAAATTCTTGTCATAATAGAGGGCAGAGTTTAACAAATCCAATAAACTATAAGAGCACACAGGATGTGTATGTGTCTCCCCAAGGGTAATGGATGATACAGAAGATTAGTAAACCAAGACAGACAAAACAGGAAATATTCCAAGAATGCCTTGTTGTATACTGAGGTTTTTACTGAAACTGGAAGGAAGGAAGGAAAGAAGAAAGGAAGGCACTTGCTAGACAAAAAAAGTGAAAACTTCTGGGAGCTTATTTCCTCCCCAACAGTGAAATTTATCTCCTGCCTAGAACTGTAGTTTTTATTACTTTTAGGTCTTAATTTCACAATTTATCTTAGAATTTATTTATCACAGTCCTGCAACTTCCTTTTAGCCGTAACTTACTGTATTTTTCCGTGTATAAATAATTAAAGGAAAAATTGAGGGTTGTTTTATACTCAGAAGTAAGGAGAGGGGAGGGATCAAAGTGCTTTGATCCCTGTTTCTCCTTCCATGTTTTGCAAAGAAAATGGAGGGGGAAAGCAATTTCTGCTTTCTCCCTATATTTTCGTTGCAAAAAGCAGCCTTCCTCCTTCACGTTTTGCAAAGAAAATGCAGGGGGAAAGCAATTTCTGCTTTCCCCCTGTATTTTCTTTGCAAAACCTGGAGGGCGAAAGCTACTTTTTTCAACAGAAATGTGGGGGGAAAGCAGAAACCTTCCCCCTCCACTTTCTTGCAAAGAAAGAAATTTTGATTTTAAAAAGTGGGGGCTTTTTATACACGGGGTGTCTTATACACAGAAAAAATAATGGTACACCATGTAAGGCTGATGACATCATCAGCATTAGTGATGGTTTTGGAAAGTAAACACTTCAGCCTTTGTTTTAAAAAGCTACTATTTTACAAAAATCCTTTCCCTCCAACTCAAGTGTTTACATGGATTTGACAAAACACCCTATTCCTTGTTTCTAGTTTCTGAGGAAGGCCTCCAGCACCAAAGGACAGCCAGCCAGAAATCACTGTGTAGAGCAGCAAAGAAGTTCTGAATGACACCCACAGATGAAGAAAGAGACAGATTTAAACACAAGAGGCTTTTGCCTTTACTTATTCTGCTATATCTGAACAAGGACCCAAAAATTCATTGCCCCGTTGATCTTGTAAAATCTACAAAGCACAAAATATTGTCCAAAGTGATTTTAGCCTTTTAAAAATAGCTGTGAGGTTTACTTGCATTCACTGTTGAAAATATTAATATCCACTACAGAGTTTTATAATATGGTTTATGTAAAATGCATTGCTTTCAACCTCTTCTGCCCAGTGAATAAGGCAACAACATGAGAGGTATTACATACAATCTAGTTCATTTGTAAAAACTTTTGCAGAGTGGCTGTTAACTTTCAGAGTTTGTTTTTAAAGAAATGCTGAATTTTAAATTCTGACAAATTAGCAGTAGATATTTTTCATAACTTTCTAGATTACAAAACAACAAAAAGAGGATAGGTTCACCCACAGGTAAGGCATGAAAAAGGTGAGATTGTGATGCTTTTTTTTAAAAAAAATGCACATATTCCAATTAAATGCTGGAGAAAATGATTACATTTTATGTACCATGACCTGAGAGTGAGCATCACAGAATTCAGTGGAACTGACTTCTGAATATAAACATGCATAGGGTGGACTTAAGCATCATTGTAAGATGTGATCCCAAAAGTGACAAAAGAAGGAAGATGTGATTAGTAATTATTCTGTACTTTTTATGTTCTGCTTGATGGTTATCAGTTTATATTACAACAGCTCTTGCAATTTGTAGAAATCTTAATGTGTAACATCCCATTATTAATTTTCTTTTAAAGTATGCAATATTTTAAGCTTTTTGTCAAAAGTGGTAACATAAGAAACCTTTTTGTGGTTGTAAAACTTAGCTTATAAATAATTCAAATTGAAGTGAAAAAAAAACCAGGTCATTGTTAATGACTTAGTCTATCCTGCTTATTAAAAATATATGTATTTTTATAAAGGAAATGCACTTGTAAATATTTAATCTGTCTGTCATTTATGTGTTGTTCTAGGGGGAAATGTTGCTGCTTAGGGGAATCACCTAAATAGTTTTAGTTCTATACTCAAATGTTCCCATCCCCACTTTTCCATTTGTGGCATGTTCATTCTATACATAGCTGAATAGTTACAACTGGGCTAAATGCATTTTATATCTGAACGTAGCCAAGTATGTCTCGAGTCTCTCACTGAATTTTAAGTGAAGGCAGAATATACATTGATGCTGTGTTTTCATCTTTAATACTAGCTTCCTTCTGCCTTACGCTACCCCAACATTTGTCATTCTGTTATAACGAGGTTCTTATTTGAAGGTCACATTCCAAGGTGATATATTCATAGTTTCTTAAATTCCTTAATTTATTAATAACAATAATTATATCTGTCAACTTTTAATTGCAAAAATGCAGGCCTTTTCTCAGGACAAGAAGATAGTGCTGGTGAAAACAGGGTTGGGGGGAAGAAATGCTAAGGCAAGGTGGAGCCCGGAGGGATCAGGTAGAATGGGTGAGGAGACAGTTCAGGGTAATAAGGGGTTGAGCTAATGGGTCGTGATCTAGAGGCTGGCAGACTCTAGAGTCAACTAGATTTACTGATTATGCAACTTTTCATCATTAGCCCAGGAAAATACTGACTGGAGGGCAACTAGATTTATAAAATAGTGAATAATGCAGGGAACTAGGGGGACAGAAGGGTTGATAGATAATTCAGATGAATAGGTATTCCTGTTTCTGATGAAAAGATGGGTGGATGGTCTTTATACCTGCATACTTTGAAAAGCTGTTCCCTAGGAAACTGTTCTTGAAACACACAAAATTTCAACTGCAATTCATGTGTGACTAATTCTTTCCATTGTACACTTGCAAAGGGACAAGAGATCCAGGTTCAATTAAATCACTAAG